TTTTTCATGTCTAGCTGTATTGAGTTCTATAGCAACGAAAAAAGGAATTTAGTCATGAGTTAATTCTTTTTCACTGGGTCTCCTTGCTTCCTTGTCTATCTTTCGTTCATTTTCTTTTTCATTTCTAGCTGTATTGAGTTCTGACAACCACAAGCACATCAGACAAAGAATTCACGCTGGATTTAATTCTTTTTCAAGGGGTGCAGGAGGCAGGAAAGGAATTAACTCTGGATTCAATTCTTTTTCAAGGGCCGATACAGAAAGAAACAATGAAGAATTAAATCTGGAGTTGCTTCTTCCAAAAGCAGGGGTGACAAAAGGAATTAACTTGGGAGTTAATTCTACTGAGGCACATTCTAAAGTGCACCCCAGGACAAAGAATTAACACCAGAGTTAAGAAAAATTAACTCTGGTATTCACTCGATTTCTCATGGTCTCAAAACTGTTCTGCTGATGCTGCTGGTGCTGCTGGCCGTGCTGGCTGTTATAGGAAAAAGATGCTCAGCAAGGGATCCAGGAAGCAGGAAGGGTTGGAAAATGTCTCCTCTGCCGGGACTGCGACTACATCACGGGGAACCACTTGTACAACGAGGAATGTCTCGCTAGCTACCGCATGCACCTCTACCCACCGAGCTCCCCGGGAATGCATTTGCGGCCTCCAATGCAACAACTACCCTACAATGGACGTTGGATGGGTGTTGTAAATGATTGATCCAAGACCCATCAAAAAGGCTCCAACTGCCAGTCCTTGCCACCAAAGGCTTTGGAGCAATACTCCTGGAGAGGACAGCAGGGGTCAAAGGAATACGTAAAGGTGCTTGCAGAATGTCCGCATTGACCCATCGACCGAACATGGTACCAACACAACTGAAACATCTGGATTCCCGCCGCTGCCATTGCATCTCCCACATGAAGAATGCTCTCGTTCCGATTCTGGTGAGTTCCGTCATGTCCATTCTATTCCCATCTTGTTTCGTCTTGCTCATCCGGCACATCGAAATCCGAATTCCATGGTTCCAATATGTTCCAATTGCCCTCACCGAGTTCCTGAAGAAAGGAAATAAACACCGCCCCGCCCCACCGGCATCGTCTCGTCCGACCGGCCCGGTCGTCACCTTCACCCAGGGCACTCGAGAGGCGCCACCCACCATCTCGACGAAGTCAATCCTTCGGAGCAGCGGTTCGAAGCAGCGCTTCGAAGCCAAGGAATCAAAAAGCAAAGATCAGCAGCTTAGGAGAGCCAAAGGAATCCAAAAGCCAGTGAAGCTTGGAGATTGTAAAATAGTAATTAAAGTCATTAACGAGTTATAGTGGTCTCTATCTTTTAATTCGACACATCTAAGTGCTCGGCTGTTCCACACTGATGCCTGCTGCTGCAGCTGCGACCTTGGCACCCTCCAGCACTGCATTGACCCTGGCCAAGTGCAATCTTGCAGAATTTACCAGAATCTCACAACCCAGCAAATTGTGGCACACCTTGGCATGATACCATGTGATACCATGCGATACCTGTAATACGTGATATTGCATGGATCATATGGGCATCGTGGCGATCTGTGGCTGCCCGCAGCTGGACACCAAACATGTCGAAACATATCGAAACCCTCGAAATCGCACCGCCGACCGCACCTGTCCATCATGGGCTGGCACATCTCCAAAAAGGCATCTCGTGTGATGGTGGAGCCAAAATCCTCATCCTCAGAAGTGCACGACGGCACCAGCTGAAGCGCAAGCCTGATACCCTACTGTATCTGGTGGGAGAAAATCTTGTGGAGACTATCTGGATTGAAACGAAGGTTGAGGCATGAAACATGGATGGGGTAAGTCCATATGCCATATGCAGGTGCAGGTCCAAGAATCCTCCATCAAGCACTCAACGGACAGCTGGGCCTCAAGTGCATACATCGCCAGCAAATGCGGGGAAAGGGGATACGGATCTGGAACCGAACCCATAACACATAAAGCGCTATATATATATATATGTGTACATCGAATAGGTTGGAAAAGACTTAATTGGTAAAAAGTCGAACCGATTTACCCACTGAGACCCAGGAGACCCGGGTTGGCCTCCATGTTTGCAGACAGGATCTTCTTGGTCTTTGTCACCTGTTCCTGCCAACGTCAGAAAGAACCGAAAACAACACGAAGGGCAACGAACATCAATGTCACCATTAGAAAAGACCTATGGAGGAGAATAAAAGAGCTTCAAGACCTAGGCAACGGGGTGACTGCCGTCCAAGACCTAAGGACCTAAGGACCAAGGGCCTCGACATGCCTCAACAGCTCTGACAGCGTTTGCTGTGACACTTTGGTGTGGCCAACTTTGGTCGCCTCCAACTTGAAGGCAGCCTTCTTATTGGTCAAAGGATCGCAGCCCACTTTCCTCGGTGTGTCAGCTCAAGCCCGCAACTGCAATCCGACTCCGGGATCCGACTCAAGCAACTGACAAGGCACTTCTTGAATTGTGCTGCGAATTCTCTCATGAGGCATTCGGTCATTGTCCTAGCCGCGAGTAGGAGCATGACCCAAGATGGGCTGCCGGCAAGGTTGTTGTACGGAAATGAGCGTTCGGCGGCACGGCCAAACGTGTCCACATGCCCACTGACTCTGGTGGCGTGCGCGCGGGAGGATGCTTTTTCGCTTTTGGTGTGAAGATGTGAATTCAGGAGTTTCCTGTGAGTGTCGCCCAAGACAATCCCCAAGCAACAAAGATCAACAAAGCATAGTGGAAAACAGGCTCCTGCCACCAACCTTGTCGGCCTTCTCACAAATCACCTAGGATGGGAAAGAGTTGGTTCAAGCATTGCCTTTGAAGTTTGTGTCATACAAAAAGGATGCACGCGCAACCTCGCAAAGCCACTTTGTGCAAGATCCATGACCGTTGCTGTTGTCAATGGTTGTGAGTTCTTCTGTTGCAAACTGAGAGAGGCAAATTGCATCATGTGCCCGCTCCCTCATGTTGCTCCAATTGATGCCCAAGTTGCTGTGAGTTTCCCCTTCACAAACTGCACAATGGAGACTGAGAACATGGTGTGGCCCATGTTGCCTCATTGGGAGTTGCAGGGTGAGGCAAACAACTGCGTCCAGCCCAGTCCAGCCCCCTTCATCCTTTGCTCGATGGGCGTACTCCAAAGAATGAGCCCTTGGCTCTTAGGCAGAAACCGGCATGGGTGACGCCAAGGAGCAAAAGGCTACGGTGCATGGCTTCTCGGCATCAAAGTCGTTTGACCTCAAGGATTCGAAGCTATGAAAGACTTAAACGGACTTCGCTTTCAACTTGAAGTGGTGCAATATCGTGCAATGGTACATACCAGAAAGTCACATAGAGACCTACCAGCCCTGCCTGTAAATGCCGTAGGCCAGCGCAGTGGCTGTATGCTCGTTCATGAGGCCTCGTCAACGACACAACATTGAGTTGGCACAAACGAGATGAACAAGGACAACTGCAGCATCTCAGAGCATGCCTTCCCACTGGATCATAATCTTGTCACGGGGCAAGCTCTCTGTTTCTCTCTCTCTCTCTCTGTTAAATATATATATATATACTCTGGAATTCTTCGAAAAGCTTTTGACGCCAAGCCACGGAGGACTGGAATACCGGCAATCTTCGCCGCATCCAGCAACGCCTGGACAAACGCGCAAGCTCGCTCTCTCTCTCTCTCTCTCTTTCTCTCTCTCTCTCTCTCTCTCTCTCTCTCTCTGACTGAGGCGCTCAGCCGGCACTTTTCTTTACACAAGTACAGTATATAGATGGATGAGGCTGGGTGTTTCTGCTGGATCCTGGATGATCCTCATTCTGCTCGAGCTCTTCTGCTGCCTGTCGGTGCACGTCTGAGTAATAGGAGGGCACTCCAATCACGCAGTCAGCTACCTCGGTGTCGTGGCCGGACGCACGGCATCAATCGATCTTCCGATCAGGAGAGAATGACTAAGATCTCAAAGACAGTGGTGAAAGGATGGGAAAGCAGCATTCGGCATTCGTCCAAAAACTTGGGGGGTGCAACGACGTTTCATTCATCCAAAGATCACCCAGCTATGGGCCAGGAATGCACATACCAATTAATCCACTAGACAAGAAGTTGGTAGAGGTGCCTGGCTCTTGGCTCTAGTTTCTGAGCCACGCCAATCCAGTGAAACGGGGCCTTGTTGGTGGTCCACTTCTCAGTGACATCCCTCAGCTTCGTCAGGAACATGGCGGTGACCTGGCATCAACCAATACTCACCAACGCAGTCCTTGCTTTCAAAAATGGACAAATCATGTCGAAGGCCTTTGGCAGTACAAGCCAGTGAGCTACCCTCTCGGCTTTGGAATCCACTCTGGAAGGTAGCAAAACAGTAGCTGCCCAGTCACAGCGAATCACCGGAAGCATGCTACCAACCATCGAGCACAGCTATCTCACCAAGTGCCTGAATGGCTGACATCTGTCGCGGCTCGCCCTTGTAGTTGACCTGCGGCAAGAAGAACATGGCTGGTGACCATTCTTCGACACAACCGAGGATTGGTGGCCATGAACACCCAATAGGGGGGGTGTAATGTATGGAAATGTGCTTTCAAGCTTTCATCTTCAAAGGCCAAAGGCGCTTCTGTTGAAGGCTGGAAAGGAGCTCACACATGCACCCTCTCCGAAGCGAGTCGAATCCCAGGTCATCCTGCCAAGTCTGCACTCGCCTGGTATCCCAAGGTTCCATCCTGACATGACCCAGCCGCAGCGGACCGAAGATGACCGAAGTGACGTCTTCACTTCTGACCGATCAAAACCAGTCGACACGACCGGCGAAACCCGTCGTGAGGAGGCGATCTCCTTAACGACGCGACGTGAGCCAACGAAGCCGGGAGCACAGGGCACTGGCAAATCTCGCTGGTGGACCAAAACTCCTGCAGGGGGACTCAGAGCATCACACCATGCGTTGATAACTCACCAAAACTGCAGACAAAGGATCAAGCCAATTTCGACTATCAAAACAGTGGTCGATTGCGGCAGGAAAAGGGTGACGTCCACTCAAAAAACCAGTGAATATCGCTTGTATTGGCGCACAGACTCAAAGACGCTGCAAAGGGCAAACCAAAGCCTAGAATGAGCCTGTATTTGCAGACTGTAAGAACGCCGAAAGCAGAAGGAACCCGCTTGAAGAAAGTCGCCCGTCTCGTACCCTTCCCTCCTCCTCCTTGACCATTGGGGAGTCCAACTTCTGCCCCAGAAGGTGTTTGAAGTTTCGGCCTCCAAGCTTGCAGAGTAGGCTCTCTCTCTGTCTCTCCCTCTCTTGGCCCTTCGCGGGGGGGCCGAACTAGCTGGATTCTGTCCGTGGAACAGCCAGGGCCATGAGTTTCTGAGTGTCCCAATGAGCCAACATTGCGCTGCAAAGTCTGCTGAGTCCCCAGCAGGTATTCCTCAGCAATCGGGAAAGTACAGGCAAAGCATGTCTGGTGGGACACTCGGACACACACTTATGGATATGCATACGGAACTGAAAGCGGTGCCACACGCCGGCCTAGGGTTCCAATTCCTAAGGGTACAAGTACGAACCAATGGATCCTGGAGGTCTTCAAGAGGAAGTAGGGCCCAAAAGGAAGAAGACGAGCGACGAACCGACAAGATGACGTCGTGGCGTGCAAGTCTGCAGAGCTCACTAGCACTTTACAAAAGTTCAAAAGTTCGAAGAAAGCAGGTACGTCGGAGTGGCCAACTCCGATATCACCAGATCAAATGGGCGTCTTCGTTGGTAGCGGTCCCAAATGATCTGCCGCTACCCCCTGCAGACTAAAACAATTCAAAAGAATCCCTGTGACTACAAGGGTTACACACACACGCCTCCCCGAGGGGAGGCAAAATTAAGGCTAGGACGAATGTGCAAATGTGCGCGCAGCAAGGACAAAAGGATGAAGACATGAGAAGGAAGACGACGGGACAAAAGTGTGTGTGGTTGCGATGAAAGAGAAACCAAGTGCACAGGGACAACCGATGAAACCTCATTGTCGAAACCTGGGCGACCTGAAACCTGAGTTGGAAGTAGATGTGCCCGTACACACTAAGGCCCGGACCGTTGTATGCGCAAAAGAACGAAAGGAGTGAGATGAAAGGACATGAAGCAAGGGAAGACATGAAAAGAAAGAGGAAAAGAAGTGTGTGAAGGGGAAAGGATGAAAAGGGAACCAAATGGGGGGGGACGGGAACCGATGAGCCCAGACCTCATTGCAACAACCTAGGAAGACCTGCCTCGTTAAGGTGTGTACGATGTGTGTGCACCTAAGAGTCCGACAGGTTCCAATGAACCTCAAAAGTGCTTCGGTCGCTCTGACCACGTTGAGGCGTTAAGCCAGCTTGGACCGCTGCGGTCACGTAAAAGCATGAGCCAACTTGGAATTCCAAAGATGAGACAACAATCATCGTACGTTCGGCCTAGGCCACCTGCTGTCCGCTCCGGACACTTACATCTCCAAAGCAAGGGAGATAACGACAAACCCCCGTTCAACGGGTCCACGGGAGGCACTCTGCGGGCTCATCCCGGGTTGGCACGAGGCCAAACACACTTATGGATATGCATACGGAACTGAAAGCGGTGCCACACGCCGGCCTAGGGTTCCAATTCCTAAGGGTACAAGTACGAACCAATGGATCCTGGAGGTCTTCAAGAGGAAGTAGGGCCCAAAGGGAAGAAGACGAGCGACGAACCGACAAGATGACGTCGCGGCGTGCAAGTCTGCAGAGCTCACTAGCACTTTACAAAAGTTCAAAAGTTCGAAGAAAGCAGGTACGTCGGAGTGGCCAACTCCGATATCACCAGATCAAATGGGCGTCTTCGTTGGTAGCGGTCCCAAATGATCTGCCGCTACCCCCTGCAGACTAAAACAATTCAAAAGAATCCCTGTGACTACAAGGGTTACACACACACACATGGGTTGGATACACATAAAATGTGTTGGTAGGCGAGGGAAGCCGCAGCCAAAGGGAGGCGGAACCCAGCTAGATAGTTAAAGGTAGGAGAGAAACCGCGGCCAAAGGGAAGCGGATCTCTGCAAGTGAAATTATCAGGGCGTGTAAAGTTTTTAATATCATGCTTTCTTGCACATTGATATCTCATGAAAGAAAGAAACTGCTCCACTTCAACAGAATCACCCAGCCAATCGGCAAATGGCCAGACCCTCTTGACTGTTTCATCTCTTAGTCACAACATGGCCAGGAGGAAGTATGCGAGTGGGAGGTGTATCCTAAAGGAAGAAGTGCCTCACATCTCTTCTGACATCCAACATGAACTCTTTTAGTGAGTGCAAGCCGTACAGCAGCTAATATCTTCAAGTCCTTGACTTCACGCACCGTGCCCGACCGAGCTCCACTCATTGGGCGTTCGACGTCACTTGACTCGAATTTGGTCAAGCCACTTGGCGTTCGACTTGACCAGTGCCAATGCACTGTCACCCAGAAGCCGCTCGCGATCCGTGAAGCCCACCTCAACGCGGAACAAACTGCGATCAACATCCGGACAAGCTCCCGAAACGGAGCACCGTCTGTCGAGATGGCATACTTGGAACGTTTTTTCACTGAGAAGTTCCTTGACACTTGTCTTCTCCGATCTCCTTCAGAGGCAACGTTGAGACCTGCATCCTCAAATTGTCGGATCGGGCCCTCCCCAATAGAAAGACTGCCACCACCCGCTCCGCCCACTGCGAAAGAACGTTCCTCGCACAGTTGAGCTCCCAACTAATGAAGGAGTTTCTCTTCGTGAGACCTGAAGAGCCGATGGATCTTTGAAAGGGCATATGTTTGTTCTCTGCATGTCAAAACATGAATGACACCTGTTGCAGCTAAATCCCTGTGAGCAGCGTGCATACTACGAACCCGATACAATGAACTCTGAGGCGTTTTTCCTCCGCCCACGTGCGAAAATTTAACAAGGCTCACGCATATTCATGCTGAGCAAAAGTCAACTGTACAGAATGCACATGATCAACAGTGCTGGACTGCTTTCTGCAGACCAAAAGTGACAAAAGTCGCAAGAGTTAGGTCGTCGCAGGTGGAAGACCCCCTTCAATCAGCACGGTCGCATTGAGGGTCTCATTTGCCCTGCTTCATCATGAGAGAACGCTTCTTCTGCGTCTTCTGCATCTGTGTCTCCTCATCACCGTTGGGCTTCCAAAGGCCACGGTGCAAGACTTCAGCCGCAGCATCATGCACCTTCTCCCAACCATGGAAACGCCCACGCTGGCTCAACGTACCCACAGCATTGGGGAAAGCATGGTGAACATCGTGGAACAACATCTCATTCCAGCGGTGCTTGCCACCTAACACCAAAGCCATAACGTTGTGAAGCACCGGCCAGGTGCGGCCTGGGTCCTGTGCCAAGAACTCGTTCCAAGGAAGTGAATGGGTGAAGTTCGTGATGAACATCCACGCGGCAGAGAAGCCGATGCGAGCAAAGAAGGACACGGTGAACATGAACCTCCATCCCTCGCTCAATGGCCTACCCAATGGATAGGTGCCCAAGAGCCACACGAAGGCCCACAAGGACAGCACGAAGGCATTGTGGTACACACGTCTTGGAATCCATTTTTGCCAGAAGTCTTTGTTGCCTCGTGTGGCCAAATGGATAAAAATATTTCAAAATAGGGTCAACCTCGTCAGCGCTGGCAAAACTAGGGAACTGTGACCACACAGACCACAAGAAAGAGGTGGGCGACGAGCAGAAGAGCACAACCCAAGGTGAGCTTGATCGACCAATTTTAGTCCTGATCACACCACAGTCACCCAAACTGGGCCACGGGAAGCAAACCTGAAACCTTGCTCTCCAGATCGGTGTACTATTGTTTGATCATGATCGATCCATAGAAAGGAAGGGAGGGGCACCTGACATTTAGTCAATACTTGCCAGCCGCACTATCGTTTCGCAAGAGAAAGTCAATGAAGTCCTTCGGACGCTGAGACCTCATAAACACGTGCTTGGATTGCCAAGTTGCACTTGCCACCCGCACCCTCATCAGGGAAATGCATCCACCACTCCAAAGCAAAGAGGGAGCCGGTGTCGTTGAGGCCAAAAAAGTGAATGATAGGGATCCTGGGCAGCACTGCACTCTCTTGTCAAGGCTTAGAACTCTTTTCAACAACCCTCCAACGCTCCAACCAACAAGGTTGCCAAGGGAGCTAAGGATCCATGGCACAGTAAGGATGTACTTGTACCAATTTGTGCTGAAAGGCCCCGCCCACTGCTGCAAGGCATAATGGAACTCCTGTGCCAGGGCCACCACACGCTACTCACACAAATGTTCATTGAACTGCATGGCGTGTTCAAAAGGCCAGAGACCGCTACTGGCCCCTGCAGCACCCAGGCTGAAACTCAGCTTTCAGCATGCATACTGCGAACAAAACAATACAAAGAATTCACTGCTCAGTCTGTTCAGCTTTGCAGCGCGTGAAACGTAACGCAACACTGATTTGGCAAACCCACCTCGGGATCCCAACCAAATTCACCCTGGATCAACAGGTCCACAGTGCTTGCATGATGGCGATTGTGCTCCAAAACAAACTCCTCCCATGGCAAGGAGAAAAAGTCCGCAAAAGGATGCGTCAGGAACTTCTGCCAATCATAAACGGGGAAGGTCGCCCCATGCATCACCTCCAGCCCATCAAAAGAGTTCACCGTGGACTGGGTCTGTTCCACGTGTTCAAAACAAGTCAGAGCCCGTGAGCACAGGTTGCTTTGTCTAGTTTTCAGATGTTGCATTTCTGCAATGGATGGGAGACGTCCCTTCGTATTCGTTCATTGCCTGTGCGCCCTGCGTGCCCTGGGTTTCCAAGGCTCAAGCAAATGGTCTTGCGCCAGGACTGCACATTGAACAAAATGATGTATCTGTTCCTGTCGTTACATATGAAGAGGTATGTATTATGTTCACCACTACACAAGCTGTGCACTACACGAGACTCTCTCTTTTTCGTCTGAATTGGGGATGCTTTCGGGGCAGCTATGCTGTCACTTGAACTGGAAAAAGGGTCATCTGATTTGACCACTTACTTACTGTACAAAGAACCACTTCAACCTCTTTTGATACTTACTCAGGACTACCCGTGTATCTCCCCCGAGTTACTGGGTTACAAGGTGTGGCCCCACACACCCTACCCCGGACTACCCGGGGTCTTGGGCGGCGAGGGTGGGACTACACGTGGGGGGGGGCCACTTTCACTTGTAGCCAAAATGGCCACCAGTGCACACCCACTGCCTCATTGACACTCATTCGTTACTGCTTCGTTTGTAAAAGGCCGATCATCCCGCTCACCAGCGACACGCCGCGTTTACGCCAGCATGTTTCGCGTCCCCAGTGGCACGGTGCCACGCAAACGCACTTTCCACCAAGGCCGCGCAAAGCCGCACGGTACTGCGACCCACACACTATAGAAGCAATCCTATTACGCGATACCACCAATCATCCCGCTCACCAGCGACACGCCGCGTTTACGCCAATCCTATTACACGATACCCCCAAACAGCTCGCTCACCAGCGACACGCCGCGTTTACGCCAGCCTGTTTCGCGCTCCCCAGTGGCACGGCGCCGCGCAAATGTACTTCCCACCAAGGCCGCGCAAATCCGCATGGCACTGCGACATCGCGGACATAATTCGCCACACAGTCTGCCCACACACTAGAAGCAATCCTATCGCGGGATACCGCCAATCATCCCGCTCACCAGCGACACGCCGCGTTTACGCCAGCATGGCACTGCGACATCACAGACGTAATTCGCCACACGGTCTGCCCACACACTGGAAGCAGTCCAGCTCCGAAAAGCTCTTTCCCGTACTACATTTGCACTACAAGCTGGCCACTTCGCAGTCCAGCTCCGAAAAGCTTTTTCCCGTACTACAAGTGCACTACAAACTGGCCAGGTCTGAGTCCAGCTCCGAAAAGCTCTTCCCCGCACTACATTTGCACTACAAACTGGCCACTTCGCAGTCCAGCTCCGAAAGGCTTTTTCCCGTACTACATTTGTACTACAAACTGGCCAGCCAGGTCTGAGTCCAGCTCCAAAAAGCTCTTTCCCGCACTACATTTGTACTACAAACTGGCCACTTCTGAGTCAGCTCCGAAAAGCTCCTTCCCGCACTACATTTGCGCTAGTGAAGCGCCAAGTCTCCAAAATGAGCGTTTCATACGAGACTTCCTCCAAAAGTGAGGCGCCAAGTCTCCAAAACAAGCGTTTCGTACGAGACTTCCTCCAAAAGTGAAGCGCCAAGTCTTCAAAACGAGCGTTTCGTACGAGACTTCCTCCAGAAGTGAAGCACCATGTCCCAAAACAAACGCGTCGTACGACACTTCCTCCAAACGTGAAGCGCCATGTCTCCAAAACGAATGTTTCGTACGACGCTTCCTCCAAAAGTGAAGTGCCAAGTCTCTAAAGCCAGTGTTTTGTACGAGACTTCCTCCAAAAGTGAAGCGCCAAGACTCCAAAACGAGTGTCTCGTACGAGCGCCAAGTCTCCAAAACGAGAGACTTCCTCCAAAAGTGAAGCGCCAAGTCTCCAAAACGAGCGTTTCGTACGAGACTTCCTCCAAAACCAAGCGCCAAGTCTCCAAAACGAGCGTTTCGTACGACCCTTCCTCCAAAAGTGAAGCGCCAAGTCTTCAAGACGAGCGTTTCGTACGAGACTTCCTCCCAAAGTGAAGCGCCAAGTCTCCAAAACGAGCGTTTCGTACGAGACTTCCTCCAAAAACAAGCGCCATGTCTCCAAAACGAGCGCTTCGTACGAGACTTCCTCCAAAAGTGAAGCGCCAAGTCTCCAAAACGCGCTCTCGCCTGCATTTCACGCCTTCGATCTCCGCACAGGGCTGCGCCGGACAAATCCAAAACGCACTCTCACCTGCATTTCGGTCTCCAAAACGCGCTCTCACCGGCTCTCACCTGCATTTCGCGCATCCGACGCGCACGATCTCCGCAGAGGGTTGCATACGCAACGGCAGGATCGCAGTTTCGCCTATTACGCGTCCGGCACGCGCGATCTCCGCAGAGGGTTGACGTTCGCGATGGTCCGCCGGACCTGCCCCCCGCCTTAAGAGAGAAAGAATAAAGAAGAGAGATGTGAAGATGTGAGTGAAGATGTGAGTGAAGATGTGAGCAGATGTGAGTGAGATGTGAGAAGATATGAGAAGATGCGAGATGTGAGAAGATGTGAGGGAAGATGTGAGATGTGAGAAGATGTCAGATGTGAGAAGATGTGAGAAGATGTGAGATGTGAGAAGATGTGAGATTTGAGAAGATGTCAGATGTGAGAAGATGTGAGAAGATGTGAGATGTGAGAAGA